GATGACTGCTTTCACGGCTTTTTCGTCTGCTGCGTCGAAGGTCCGCACGTGCACTTCTACTTTTGGGTACAGGGTCTCCATCTCCCGCTTGTGCGTTGCTAGGTGCGTGTCGCTGAAGTCGCAGATGTAGACTGCTTTGGCGCCGTTGTTGGCGAATTGGTGGGCGCTGGCTCGGCCGATGCCATTGGGAGAGTTTGCGCCTGGTTTTTATTGGTATGCTTCTTGAATGGCCTTGGGAATCAATGTGTGTTACTTACCGGTCACGATTACTACCTTGTCCTTGACGCGACTGTATATTTGATTAGCTATGTTTGATCTTGTAATACATACAATGCGAGAAGCCGACTGAGGAATAATAGAGCTATAAGCTTTAAGAATACTTACGGTCCTGCTGAATCAGAGGCAACATGACGGATCTTGGGAATATCCTCAAACGTGCCCTCGAAGGGAATGCCTTCAACGAGCTGCTTGCTCAGGGCTTGAAGACGTTGCTTTGCTGTATCAGACATATTTATTGAACTTGGGGAATCTTAGAAGGCTGATAATAAGAAAAATGACTTGAACGTGCTACAAGGACCGCTTCAATTGCGGTACCCTCGTAGTTATAACAGCTTAGCAGCTTTCCCCACTATGTCGGTTATGCGGAGAGCCGAGGCTCCAACAGTACAGCAGTGCATAGCGACCAATATGGTAACACGATCACGTGTAAATGGATATAAGCATTGAATCACATGACACTCGTCAGGTCACGTCATGTGCCGTAGGGTATCAAAGCTGTCTTTGTGGGTTTCCAAACAACGCAAATCTGTGCTCTTTGTTTCCTCATGCTTTTGTTGTTCTAAAATAGGGTATCTAGGGTTGAAATGCATACCTGCCCCTGAACATCCGGTCGATCTCCCTTCATTCCATCCGCGGATCACTACAGCAAGGATCGCCAAGCACGCACGGCAAGACCAGCCAAGTATCAAAAGCTACATAAGCTACTTGATTATTTGTCTTGTTAGCCCGGGCACCGTTTGCAATTCAATGCAACTCACCCATCTCCGAAAGCTCTAAGAGAAGCCTTCATGAAGCCATTAATCCACGATTTTACCGTTCACGCCATTGCCCGGTTGTTGAGTCATGGCGGATTCCGACACCCACTCCCAGCGGCGTTCATCGTCCCAAGCCTCAAGCGCCTCGAGCAGAAGTAGAAATGCTAAGATAGCTCGGGCTAAAATGCAAAAGCGCCACTCGGGCTCCTCCCACACAACGACCGACTTGACCTCGTTCCCCTCGCTCTCACCACCAGACAAATCTCCAATCCTCGCCCGCGGCCTTTCGAATGCGTTGTTCGCCGACGAAAACAGAGCGGAATCAACTGGAGGCGTGACTAACCGTGGGCGGAAGGCTACGCTAGAAAATCTGACGACCGGGCTCAAATCAGGCCGATCTGCCCTCTTCGCCGATTCCGTCTCGACACACGATATCCCAGGCGCGCTGCATTTGGCTGATGATGCGCACATTGAGCGGCTGGTTGCCGGAACAGGCGCCGTGAAGATGGTGAGGCAGTTCGCTCGCGATCTGGCTCAACGGGATGCTGAGATCTCGGCCCTCCGCCAACGCGCCGATGCGAGGGAGCGAGAGTTGAAGAGAATGCTCCGAGATGTGTCTGTGTCCAACCAAGATATTGAACGCCGTCTCTATCAGTTGGAGAATCCGCCGGGTGATCGTGTCTCAGACGCAGAAAGTACTCATAGCAGTGATCATGCTGGTCAAGCCTATTCTAGCTTGAATGGACTGATGTCTCAAGCTATGGAAGACACCGTTGGCTCTCGGCCTCATGGTGACTCCGCAGAAGCCCAGGCCACGATTCGCGCCCAGCGATCAGACAATGATCGAGGTAGCGGAGTCACTGACAGCGGCAAGCGTCAAAGCTCGATTCGGGGCTGGCAGGAGTACCTTTTTGGCTCGACCAATACGAGCCGGAAAACCAGTCGCGCCAGTAGCGTTATGAGTGATGTCGGTGAAGTTGGAGAAGAAGAGACTGAGCGTCTTCGGGTGCCCAGCAATCCTGCAATGCGACGCAAAGCGCTCGATGAGCAGCTATTTCAACCTCCAGATGGCCCGGCACGAAACGGACCGGCGAAGCGCATTGCTAGCACGTCTGTAAATGGCGACGATGTAAGCATTCATTCGCGCAAATCTTCACGTTCTCTCGGCTCTTGGACTGTTAAGTTATTTGCTGGCAATACCCAGTCGAGCAAAGATGCAAGTGATACTGAGTCTATCCACAATAAACCTCAACTCAGAAGGCCTGACGGAGACAAAAGTACTTCGTCTACATTTTCTGCCAATTCTAAGGGCTCAATGTCGGCAGTGGCCGCACTGAAGAGGATTAACAGCAATGTCAGTATCGCTAATACTGGACGATCTGCCAGTGGGTCGAGCGTCCAGGGCAAAATGAACACTCCTGCCTTGCGACGCAATGCAGCTGGCAGCGTGTCTCAGGGCGCGACGTCGGAGACTACGGATAGAGCCTCCACAAATCTTGGACCCGTCGAGATGGACGCCATTCTGCCCATGGAGTCGAAGCCTCCGACGCTGACGCCTATTTACAACAATTCCCAATCGGGTGAGTTTCTCACCGACCGGTTCGGTTTCATCTATGATCAACATAGGAAGAAGCGCCAGAGAGAAGCGAATACTATCAAGAGCGGTAATCGCAGTTTGAGTATAACCGAGACTCTCGGTCATCTTCGAACTGATGCGTCAGATCATGAGGATGATCCCGAGATCACCAAACTTCGGCAGGACGCTTCCGAGACCTCACGTTCTCTACCTGATTCACCAGATGACCCTGAAAGTGGAGGTATTGCCATCCGTCGCTGGCAGGACTATCTGAAGATGCCGTCCCGTCCTACAGAGCTATTGTCCGACACGCCCTGCGCAGGCCCGATTGTCTCCTTGACCACTGCAGGAGAGAGTCGCTCTCATAGCTCGTCTGTTTCCTACGACAAAGACGGGGCGTTGGCCGTCGGGTCTAGCGCACAGCCATCGGCGTCTACATCGGCTATCACGGCCGACAGCCCCGAATTCGCTGGCTTGTCATCGGATCAGCTCAAAGACACAGCCGCCAGATTTACTGTCGCAGAGATGGAACCTGTAAAACTGTTGTTGGAACAGTTGACTGATCTCCACGATACACTGCAACGTGATCGAACCGTGAGATGGAACGAGTTCCTTCGCAAAGTGCGCGCTGAACGCCGAAAAGAGGGCGAAGCGGCAGCCGCTGCCGCCACTTCCGATCGATCTCTTGCTGCCGTTGACACGCCAGAAGTCTCGCTCGCCGACGGCGAAGTTGTAGGCATCGCAAATCTGGGTAACAAAGGCAAGGTTGGCCGAGCGAAGTGGCGAGAATTCCGGCTGCTCGTACTCGGCGGCATCCCAGTTGCTCTTCGCGCCAAAATTTGGTCGGAGTGCAGCGGGGCTTCGGCAATGCGAATTCCTGGCTACTATGATGACCTTGTGCATGGCGTTGGCGGTTCGGACCCCGACCCCTCCGTCGTCGCACAAATCGACATGGATATACGCCGCACTCTTACCGATAATGTCTTCTTCCGCAAAGGGCCTGGTGTCGGCAAGTTGAAAGAGGTTCTGCTTGCATACTCGCGCCGTAACCCAGAAGTAGGCTACTGTCAGGGCATGAACCTAATCGCAGGGTCTTTGCTGCTCATCATGCCGACTGCCGAGGACGCGTTTTGGATTCTAACCTCGATGATTGAGATCATTTTGCCCCACCACTACTACGACCATGGCTTGCTTGCCTCCCGTGCCGATCAGGTAGTCTTGCGTCAGTATATCTCAGAACTACTTCCCAGACTCTCCGCCCACTTGGAGGAACTGGGCATTGAACTAGAGGCACTCACCTTCCAATGGTTCCTATCTGTCTTCACAGACTGTCTCTCCGCGGAGGCACTGTATCGCGTATGGGACGTGGTTCTGTGTCTCAATGTGACCAGCACAATAAACGGCTCCGGGCCAAATGCCTCTGGTACTAAGGAGAGCAACGACAAGAGTGCCAAGAACGCCGAAAATGGTGCCTCTGGCAGCGGAGGTGGAAGCACATTCCTTTTCCAAGTTGCTCTTGCACTGCTCAAGCTCAACGAGCCACAGTTGTTAACAACCTGCTCGACGCCGGCGGCACTCTACACATACATCAACCACCAAATGACAAACCACGCGATCAGTATCGACGGCCTGATTCAAGCCAGCGAAGCACTGCGCAATGTCGTCCGCCGCGAAGATGTCGTTGCACGTCGTGCTGTTGCCCTGCAAGAAATGCGCGAATTAAGCAGCGGCGCAAGCACCTAGACACTTGCCTGATGGAATTTCTCGTCATGGCCTTTCATTCATTTCCCCCTGCATTTTCGCGTAACGCCGATACCACCTGAGCATAAGGCAAGGAGTTTTGGCTTTTCTGTCCTTTTTTTTTTCTCATTACCTGGCGCTATTCCCCTCATTATTCCTCGGTTTTGTGAAAGCACTTGTTGACATAGCCCGCGATGTTCTTGTTGCCTGTCTCATATACCATCAACCCAGCATTTGAGATACCCCTGGATTTTACACTTGGGCGGCAGCACTGTTAGACCTGTTTGAATGAAATCGAAGTCTTTTTCAATCGGCATTATTCTTGTGCATTATGAATCTTTCTGCAACCCTGAAGTGTCTAACGTGGCTTACTCTAGGGCTGTCGATTTATCTTACAAGTTCCGATCCTAAGCAGAATCGAAATCATACAAGGGACAAGCTTATTGCTTCGTATCAAACGACAAATGCTAATTTACTTGCTATGTTTTGAATCATTTTTTCCATTTTCGCTAAGAAACTAACCTCCATGCGAAAACAGCCGATACTGCAGTTAAACGACAAACCCAAGCACCACGAAGGGAAGCATTGACCAAATCTTTCCAACTAATCCAACCGAAAATCATCAAGGTTCTGCTCAAATGGCCACTCAGTCAGCCCGTCTCAGGTCTGGGCTTCCTCGTAGTCCCCTCGAAGTCAGTCAATGCCGGTTCATCGGCCCTCTCCATATACCGAAGGACCTCCAACTGGTGAAGCTTGTATTCAAATGTCTGTGCATCGGATACACTTCTGCAGAGCTCTCCGTCGGTGCTGATCGGAGCTGTGATTGGATACGGTGCTGTTGTCATGAACCTGGCCTTCAACTGCGGCTTGAAGGTCTCTCTGGCTACTTTTATTCTCCGACCGTCTTCCGCGCCGCTGTAGGCGTCGTATTTGATGTTGGCTTGGTCCATGAGACCTATGTACTGATATCAGTATTGACTATCTAGCGTTTCAGAAATCTGACAAACGTACGCTCCATATGCTTGATGTAAAGGCACATTCTCTGATATGTCCGTTGCAGCTCGCGCTTCTTGGTGGCTGCTCTGACATCAATGTCCAGCATCCAGGCAATCATTGCGCAAGATAGTCCTATCAATATCTGTCAGCTTATTGTCTTTGAGTGAACCCAGGTTTCATGTTAACCTACCGTCTTTGCTGTAGCCATATTGTTGTTCACCCTGATATGGCGCTGGAACCTTTTCCATGCGATTCACGAAATCCGGAGGCATATTTTCAGCGGCCATTTCAGGCGAAAACACTGAAAGGGTTGGAAGATATGGAACGAATGTTGAAGAAGGGAGAATTCGTTCCTTTTTTCTATCTTGCCTCACTTTCTCTTCTGCGGAGAGTCGGAGACGGCCTTCTCTTTGTTCTTCCCCGGTCTATCTCAACCAGTCAGTCTGACAGGAATAATTTTCTTTGTCGTCACATATTTCCAAGGCTCTAGAAAGTTAAATAGCTAGGTGTTGCGGTGAAAGCCGAAATTAGGGGAATAAAACATCTTGTAGCCACATTCTTTGTTCTCGAAATAGATCTTGTATACTTCAACATGTACGCTTTGTTCAAAATCAAAGCCTGCTTCCTCTGAAAGATAGGCTAGACCAGATAATTCAAGGAGTCAATGTCTCCATCTGGATTCTGTTGTCGCACTAGCGTCTATATAACACCCTTTCTCTCAAGTCCATCCCCTTTGATAACACACATCTCTCTCTCTCGTGTCTTTGATCTATCATCTCGGCAAAATGAATTACGAGCGCATGTCAGCCGAAATCCCTACTCTCTACCGGCTATCCAGGGAGTCCAGAGGTACATAGTCATATCTCCCTATTTATTTCCCTTGAACCCTCCAGCCCACGAGAACTAACAACTAACAAATCATCAGAAGCGGACCTTCTCAACGGTCTTCTGGGCTGGATCCGCAACGAGGCCTTTGGAAAAATAGCAGAAGCCTGTGCTCTCTGGGGTGCAATCGTCCAAGCCAATAAGCACCTTGCCAAAGTCGATCGTGAGACATGTCATGCGCTCTACCTTGTTGATCGTCGTTGCTGATTAGGTTACTAATCTAGGTACGCTGCACGCTCGTAATATTGAACATGAGCACTTTAATCTCAAAGAAGTTCTGAATTCCGAGTTGAAGCAGGCTAAGGAAATGATGGATGCCATTCCGGGTGGTAGACGTGCAACTACGGTCACTACCGAGGAAGATTTCTCGCTTGCTATTAAGCGGTTGAAGTTTCTCCGTGAATACAAGTAGTCTGCTTGGTTTCTGGACTCGAAGGAGGATGTAATTTCTGGCATTGATATCTCCTATGTACTCTATATTTCAATGAATAAGGCTGTTGTTCAATAATATAAGGTCAGGTACCGGTGGAAACCCATTTCCCTCCCGGTACCAGTCAAGAAGCGGGCAGGAATCGGATAAAGATTTATACCATTATGTTGTATACTCCGAACTTGGGTCTATAGCCCTAAGGAGGGCCAGAGGAGGGCCAGAGTCCTGCAAGGGGTTGGTGGAGGCGGTGAACACACCAGCCCTCTGATGAAAGGTCAAAGGCTGGTGAGCACGCTGGGCCCGGGCACGCTTTTGACTTGGTTCAACAAGTGTCGAAGTCGCGAATATCAGGGACAGTGTGAAAGGTCGAATCGGAAAGAACAGAGGTAGTCATATCTTCTTTCCTCAGCTCGGGCTCTGATCCACCCAGAACTGACTGTTATCTAACACCGTGGTCAGATCCAGCGAGTCCATCGTCGGACGCAGTCCCAAATCCATGACATCCCGTGCAACGGCTTTGATCTGCCGCATGATCGACTGGGAAATGGCCCAGGTGCGAGCCAATGACTTGAAGACACCGATCGTCAACGCCAGGCGGTCGCGGCTGGGGTCTGGCATTTGACCGGCTTTGACAGAGCAGGTGGCCAGTTGGACAATGGAGCTCAGAGTAAGCGCACAAATAAAGAATGGGGTGTGCTTGACAACGGGCAGACGGAAGGCCGCAAGGCGGGACAACTCTCGGGCGGCCTTCGCGGCCTTCATGGCGTGCTCGTTGTGCGAGAACGCAGGGACATTGACCGGGCCATGGTGGCCACAGATTACTTCCGCGGCAACGGCGGGAGATGAAAGAAGATCAGAGCGCGGGAAGTTGAGGTAGATGGCTGCGCCGTTTAACATCATGGTTGCCTGGAACATGATCTCATCCACGCTTCCATCGGGTCGCAAGAGCTCTAGCTTGGACTCTGGCAAGTGATGGCTCCAACTACCAATACGGGCATCAAGGGCTTCTACATGGTCCTGCTGGCCTTCGGTCATATCCTGCATCGCCACCACGCGACCGAGAATCCGTATGGCTTCAATACGATAACAGTATGAAGAGAAGTCACGTTCTTCTTCCGCGAACACGCGCGCGTCAAACTGTGCAATAGTCGGAGACGGTGGCGGTGGTAGGGCGTCATGGTAGATCCGCTCCTCGCATGGAAGTGGGACCTCGAGCGGTACTTGGTTGGTCCGGTACTCGCGCTGCACGCCAAGGGCAGTCATGAGACCCTCGATTACAAAGAGCTCCCACCAGGTGCGCCGCAGAGACTCGGCGCGGATTGGATCCCCATTGCTTACAACGATGGCAAACGTCGCTTGATGCATGCCAATCTCAAAGGCTGTATCTACTGCGGCGGCTAGACAAACGCCGGCCTCGGCGCGCTCATTATCTGAGTGAAGCACAATCGCCAGCAGAAGCAGCGCCTGCACCTTTTCCACCGACGCATTTTGTTCTTGAACCATTGCGACAACCATATGCCGGTACGTGTCACTCGAGGCGGCCGGGGTGAAGTGTGCACCAATGAACTTCATCACCTGCTCCAGGTATACGGGGAACATGGAGCGATATAGGAGCCGGTGGGGCGGCAGGATTGGATGAGCGGCGTGGAAATAATTATAGTAGATATCGAGCAGGTAGCCATCCCCGCCGACAGCAGAGGAAGAATCCGGTGTCAGCGGTCCGCTGGTTGGGCGAACGGATGGAACAATTGGCGTCGAGAAACCGTGCAGTCCAGGACTAGTCGATTCGGAGGAGGGTAACGATAAGGTCGGCGCATAAGTGAAGCCAGCCTGCGAGGCCCAATCTACGGGGCCATCGAGCATGCCTACCGGGTTGGGATCCATGCGCAAATAATCCGGCGAGTTAGCGCGGCGCTTTTTCGACGGGCCCTTATAGCCTCTCCGAGACTTTGTATATTCGCAATGGGATCGGGCCAGTTCACATCGACTGCAGATGGGAGTCCTGCCATCGCATTTGAGGTGTTTGTGACGACATTGAAGACAGGCCAATAATGCGGGACCCGGTTTGGACCCAGTAGGGGCCTGCAATTCGGTCATCGTGAATTAACGACGCATATAGGAAATGTCTCAAGCGAAGTAGAATTGACTGGCACCGATGGAATAGAGGGGAAGAGAAGAGGGGGAGATTGAAGAAGTTCGAATGTTCTCATGTTCCCGGGGAGTGGTAATTTCGCCATACGCTAGGGGGCAGGCCATTTTCTCTTTCCTAGGAAGAGCTTGTGTATATTCCTAGAGAGGTTCTACAAGGATATTCCCTACAGAGGTAGAGAAGTACCTATTGTAATAAAAGGACAAAAGTACTAAAAAATATAAGCGTTTTACTATGGAGGAAATACATTACACCGTAATGCGTATACCTCCTTACATTACCATAGCTCTCTTTCACCTACCTCCGACCTTGTCAACTACATACTCCCATCTCCCTCTACTTGATTCTCCTCTCTTCGTGTCTTCTTCTCTTCCGTTCAATCCTTTCAATTCATCGAAGAGAGAAAATCCCAATTCCTGCTTTTGCGACCACCGCAATCACGCACACTGTGTAGCGTCACTTGAACTACTAGCCGACGTGGCTTCTCCGATTATATCGCCCACCTCTTAACGCTTTGTCGCCCGACTCTCGTTCTGTCTGTTGATTCCATCTGCGTCCTCTGTAACCTCCTTTCACAATGATCTCCGACAACGACCTCTACCGCCTCGCCATCTTCCTTGGCTCCTGCGCCATGATGATGATTGTCCTATACCACTTCCTCGATGTCAATTCCAGTGAGGAGGAACCAGAGTCTGCCGAATCAGCAAGCCAGATTAAGGCTAAGGATACTGTGCCAGTGGTGTCCACGGACAGGGTGTCGGCTTCAGAGAAGGGGAATTGAATCCGATTTACGACTCGGGAGAGAACCAAGATACCAGTGCCTACATCTTTTGATTTTACTTTTACCAGCGGGTCAGGCACAAGCCAATTGTACACGACAGTCCAATCAATTGGAGAGAAAGGCAGTCTTTGCAAATCTCATGGCTTTATTCATTACTTCCATTCGAGTAATTTGGAAATGCGTGGGTCCCTATGGAATTCACCGTCTAGATTTAGATAAAAGCAGAACCTCTTTTAAGGTGTCATCTAGGTGCAAATATTTCAAGCCCTGTTATAGCAAGGTAGCATATTATTATATGCTTTCAACTTTCAAAGCTAATTCACATGCAAGCCAGTCGCTATGCGATAAACCGAGGGAAAAAAAAGGAAAACAAAGGTATCACAAAGGTATCACAAAAGCCGATCGGATGCATCAATCATTCGCAACAAATGCCATCTCCCCACAGTGTACATTATTCTGCCGCGCCGGTGTCGACAGACGACGGTCACTCCAGTCCATATCAGGCCCAATCTGCTGTTTCCAGTGTCGGCCAGCTTCGAGTAGGGCTTGCGCCTTGGTCTTAATCGTCGATTTCCCATGGACCTTGCTAAAGGCCTCGACTGCGATCTGTTCCACTGGCAAGATCATGGTCCCTTTGCGGGCACTCCGGTCACCCATAACTGAAGGGTGATTCGATTGAATTTCCGCTAGAGAATTTATCCGATTAGACATTTTCTTCAGACCAAAAACATCGTGTGTGGATCAGCCCCATGGAGGAGCATCAAGCGCAAGCAAGTTGTGATTCTCACCAGTTACTGGTACTTTTGGTCCATCTCCAAGCGCCCAAGCCATTTTGGAAATGTGCTCGCTCGACAAATGCCTAAACATATCGGCTGCAGCCATTGGTGTCTTATTGTCACAGTCTTCCCATTTGCACACAAGAGAGTGTGGGATGTGAACTTTCACAATGTGAGCCCGAACTGAGTCAAGGTTGTGAAGTTCTGCAATGCATCCCTCCCACTTGCATGGGAATATTTGATAATGCACGGGCTGTTCACGGGGGATGGCAACTTCAACATTGTTCGCCACGCTCCTGGGAGGTCGTCCTGGTCTTCTCTTCGGTGCCATCTTGGGTGATAGAGGGATAACAACTTGTGGCTGCGAAAGACACCTTGCCTCTGGGGATTTGACAGTCCGATTAGAGTCTGATTGGCTCTTGACAGTCTGCCCTTGAGGTGTAGGCTGCGTTATAGATTGGGGGGTCGCTTGTTTTCTGGCCGGCGGGGATTTTGGTGGAGCTGCACTCTTTGTGGTCGAGGGTGGTCGCTGTTGTGGTGGTGGTTGCGGTTGCGGTTGCGGTGACGGGGGGGTTGGGAATGGGACGGATTTGCCACACGAGAAATTCGGCGACGCAGGCACGGGGTCAATTCTCGGAAGTCCAGAAGGGAAGTTGGAAGAAAATTTATGTGAAGAATAATTCGTCGGAGCTTGGAAAGACAAAGTACCCCAAGGGTTGAAACCTCCAGAAGCGCGCGCGTCGATACTTTCCGGCGTTGCGACTTGACGGTTTGGCGGTGTGTCACGCGACGGCAGCGATGCGTGGTCACGTGCAATCGCATGATTTGGTGTAGCACGCGGAAGTAATTGCTGATCTGCTTGCAGCGATTGAGGATGAGGTGGTCGAAGAGGTGGCATTTGTGGTGGTTGAGGATGAGGAAGTGGTCGGGAATGAGTAGGAAGTGGTCGGGAATGAGTGGGAAGTGGTCGAGAATCAGTGGGAAGTGGTCGGGAATGAGTGGGAAGTGGTCGAGAATCAGTGGGAAGTGGTCGAGAATGAGGAGGTGGTAGAGATGGCATTTGGGGTGCAGAGACCGGAGGCATGCGACCGACTTGAGGCTTGACGTCCACCAGATCCCAACGAATCGTCGCCAGGTCTGCGATTATGTCGGCTTTGGTAAGATGAAGGCGTAGCGCTTCAAGATGATGATTTAGAGGCTTTTCCGTCGGGTGTTTTCCTGCAGAAATCAGTATATCCCGCGCGATAGTGGCGGGATTATAGGATTGCTTTCGCAGTAAATCGCTCTGTCTTATCGGCTGGACTACGTAGTCACGGTTCTTGTCAACGCCTCGAGGCCGAGCTTGTACCATAGGAACTCGGGCCCCTGGTACCGAGCTACCTGCAGATGGGTCGTTTCGGGGAGGCATTGTTTGACTTCCGCCATTGTCCAACCGTCGCATCTTCGCGGGTGGCATAGAACCATGAGAATGATCTTGGGATGGAACCCACCGTTTTTGCTGATGGGGCGGTGGTATCGGCAGTGGGTGACCCCGCGACTGCGCATTCCCAGCAGTAGGCTGCTGTGCCACGGCCGAGTCAGAAATTGTACCTCGTCGAGGACCTGAAGTATGCGAAGAGTTGTGCCCCGTGTGAGAGGCCACGGGGGGAGTGAATGACACAGAGGCTGAGGATACCACTGGCGTGCTCTGTACGTTTTGTCGGGAGATCGGAGGCTTCTGGTTTGTCTGGTTTGATGCCTGTGTAGGGGGCGCTGGAGGGGCAGGGGCAGAGGAGACAAAAGAAACAGAAGGACTGCGAGTTGAGACAGGCTGGAATGTTGCGGGGCTGCGAACCCTATCAGGCGCTATTGGTACGGCTGACTGCACATGATCTTGATTGCGAAATGAGGGTAAAGGCGAAATTGGGTTTGACCTCGCGGAATTAGTAGACGGACCCTCCCGAGTGCTCATGGCTGGTGTAATCGAATGGCGGGATTCAACTGTGCTGCGTGCCGCTGAGGGTTTCAATCCCTTCGGCGAGTCCAAAGCGGTGTCAATCTCAGCACCCATCGAGTAGGAGCTTCGCGGCGCATTCTGGTGAGGTGATCCTTGAGCATTCTGGGGGATCGTGGAATGGCTTTCATATGGGCTTTCATATGGACTCTGCGATTCTCGGGGCCTTGTTACCGGTACATGTGTCCTTTGAGCTGCAGCTGAAATATATACTTGTTGCGTGTCCTGGGCAGGGGTGGTAGAGTAGCTCTGATACGGTCTTTTATGTGATTGGGACCGTGCCACAGGTGTATGTGTCCTTTGAACTGGAGGGATGTCCGTAGTGGAATAAGGTGATCGCTGAGTATTGTGGGGTGGAATTGTAGAGTGGGTGTAAGAAGGACTTTGCGATGCGGACGTTCTTTGAACTTGTGCTGCCATTCCTTGTGTCATGTACCGCTGCATCGAGATCTGGAAATTCTGATTTGGGGTTGCCGAGTAGCCCTGATACGGGCTTCGTGATGTGGACACAGCCTGTGCCATGGGTTAGCTCGTTCTCTGTGTAGAGGCTGTCGATCTTATAGTCTCGCGGACCCTATGGGTGCTTTGATGGGCCTCTGAGGAGCTTACTCTGGAGTTAGGAGATCTCTGCGGGGGCCCAACAGGAATTTGGGCGCGGCGATATGCATCTTGACGTGCCAGAGCATCCGAGTCTTTTTGGGACAGAGCGGAGGGATTTGGCCGTTGAGTTATATTGCGAGAGCGAGCTGTTTGGTATTCAGAGGGGCCATAAGGAGCATTGTTGGATTGAATATTGCTATTTCGTTGGTGTTTATTTCCTCCATACTGTTCACCCGAGGCTTGGGAGTACGCCTGAGACGGATTCGAGGCATGATTAGGATAGGTTGACCTCATTAACATATATGTCTTCTGTGCCTGCTGGTGCATAACGGCCGCTTTAGCCACCTCCTCCGCATCGTGAAATGCCGGATGTGTTTCATGAGCCTCAATGTCAGAACTGGGGTCGTGGCCGGTTTGAGTATCGGCTGGAAGAAAATGCTGAAGCCAATCATATCCGTCCATGCCTCCGTGAACCATTTCAGATTGTACCGAGGCTATATAGCAGCTATAAGCGCATAGCTAAGATGTTGTAGGACCGAGCAAAGAGAAGGCTTGATTAGATTCCGTTGCGCATGGAGGGTTGGATCGTGGCCGGACAGGGGGAAAGCGGGTATAACAGATAGACTCAAAAATACTAGCAAACAAAAAATGGCAAACTGAAGAATCAAGGAAGGAAACTTCCAACAGTGCTGCAAAAGCGCGGCCAAAGAGCTCTGGCGATGTCGAGCCACATTGAGAAGCGCGTCGGAGGTGGATCCCGCTATCAGCCAATCATACCACGGGCTTTTGTGGCCTTAGAGGTCAGGTGTCTAGTCGCAAGCCCTGAGATGGCTTAGCGGGAAATTAGTAAGCACACAATCCCGGGGCTCCAACTTGGAATATTCGGCTACACCAGAAAAGATCCTCTCTTCGACCCAACGCCAACGACACCCGTTCATTTCCCACTCACGACCTTTAAGATGGCTGTCCGAACCCACGGTGCGTACTCTCTCGCATCTCGCCTTGCGCCGATTTGATTTACCACTGCTCGAAACCCCTATCAATACGAATTTTCGCCAATCTTCAACTTTCAATACTGATGGTGTCTCCAGGTATCGCCTCTTCGCGGAGCAAGTCTCGCAAGGCACACTTCCAGGCCCCCTCCAGCGAGCGCCGTGTCATCCTCAGCGCCCCCGTCTCCAAGGAACTCAAGGAGAAGTACGGAGTATGTACCACATGAACCTCCAAATCGAATCTGGGTCTGTTCGGGTCGAGTTTTTGGAATTGGAAACTACGGACGATACAGGCGCCAGAATGGTTCAATACGCGACGATTCTAACCAGTGTTCTGTGATAGATCCGCTCCATTCCCATCCGCAAGGACGACGAAGTCGGTGAGTTTCATTGATACAACCTGGGAATAATCTCGAGATCTCGAAACTGACTACTATATGCAGTTGTTGCCAGAGGTTCCCAGAAGGGACGTGAGGGAAAGATTACCAACGTCTACCGTCTCAAGTTCTCCATCTTCGTCGAGAAGGTACGATTCGAATTCACATCACGCTTATTGCGGATACTTACTGCGGTTTTAGATCGTTCGCGACAAGAGCAACGGCCAGAGCGTTCCCATTCCCCTCCACCCCTCCAAGGTTGTCATCACCAAGCTGCACCTCGACAAGGACCGTGAGCAGATCATTGAGCGCATCGCCAAGGGTCGTGAGGCTGTCAAGAGCAAGTCGACTTAAGGGATTTCTTACGTGTGGGGTATAGGTTCATGTTGCAATGGCGGTTGACGGCGCGGGTTCACTTGAAGGACTCTGAGAAACGGAGTTTCCAGCCTGCTATGATCAGGGTAAAGTTTCTGAAACCAGGTGCATTGCGATGAATGAAAAATGAACAAAAAATTTCCTTTTTCTTCTATCCGGAGTCGGTGCTCGCAAGGCAATTCACTTTGCGCAGCCGGCGTTCTTCTTCCTTCGTCTCCCGCGCACATAGGAACCTCCGTCGAATGCTACAGCTCAATCTTCAGGTCATTACGTTCCTTGTCCAGTTTGCAGCTCGTCCGTTCTAGCATGCTTTTCCTTGCTCGATTTTGTAGAGACCTGTCTCCACTCGCTTCCATCTCTTTTCCTCTCTATTGAAACCAAAGATGTCGCCTGATATATCTCCTCGTCAATCCCGTCCTTTTAGGACGGATCCCATGGTTGAAGAGGTAAACACTTGGCGTAAACTATTCACAGGGCTACTGGGAAGCTGGTAGCCTCTGTCTCACCTGCAGACTCACTCTGATGCCTTCGGGCAAGGACGAAGTGGGTTTGAAGGTGAGGTACATATCCTACTCCAAGTTGGGGTATATGCTGTAAACTGTAGGAATCGTATCTTCGGTGCGGGGGATATTGGATAGTGGATATTCTCAATCAATCAGTTGATTTACTTGTCTCAATGTTTTCTCTTCAATTTTCTAACATTTGTCTTCGTTACTTATCATTTGGTATCTATGTACCTATGGATAGGAACCCCGCATGGATGGTATGATGCTGGCTGCATATCGTCAAGAGCGGCAGATTGCAGTGGCTATGGAAGAGATCAACGAGATTTCGATGCGCCCACTGTTAGGAGCTTTACTGTCTAACCATACGCACTCAAAGATGGTCGTTTCTTTCTAAAACTCGGTGAAAAATTTGCTTATTTGACTTATGGATACATATCGGGGGGATCCGATGTATATATTGTCGCCTTGCTCAGTAGAATCAGTGGCAAAATCCCAACTAGACAACCAATCAATCAGCCTATGAAATCTTTATACCTTATTGCATAAACGGTCACTTCTTTAAAAACAAACAAGAAATTCATCATTTACAATAGCCCAAGTCTTGACAAGAGGAGACATCTGAAAGTTGAGACATACCAGACCTACTAGCTAGACATAAGTCACCACTCAAGTCCTTAAAAAATATATGCAAACTTCAATATCATAATGAATACAAATCAGATAGCTGTAATATACAAGCTCGAGTAAGAAAATAATCCAAGTAGTAAAAACGGAGCAAACTCAGAAAAGCAGAAAAGCAGATGACCATCGCATCGTGGTCTCATGAGAAAGTCGAAACCCGAAGCAACCCCAGAGACTGGATATTTGAAAAAAAAGCACGCTCGCTGAAATATTCGACTAGCCACCCTAGAATGCGCTAGTGTCCAACACACTTCCCCCATGCAGGTAGTCCACACCCCATACCAATGAACAGATACAGCAAGAAGATAATGACGATCACAATCATAATCATCAACTTGGTATTCTTCCACCACATCCGCCTCCGCAGTCCCCGGCTACGAATCCGGAAGTCATGCGCACTTCCGCCAAGCCGATCCGTCTTGTCAACCAGCAGATCAATGCGCTCGCCGCGCTCCAGGACCCGCTCGATATTCTCGGTCATAATATCGCGGACGCTATCGATTTCGCGCCGGGCGGACGCGAGGGAGTCTGCTGGCGGGGCGGTGTTGTAGGATTGGAGGAGAGAGCGCAGCTCGTTGTTGAAGGCAGCGCAGCCGTAGGCGGGCAGTGTAGCGAAGTCGGTTGTGGACGGGTTGTAGGTGGTTAAGAACTTGCGCTTCATTTCTAGCAGGTAGGCGAATGGGATGCGGCGGCCTTGCTCTGCCGATGCAACTACCAGGAAGCTCAGGGGAGCGTGTGAGTTGGGCTCCGCAATGTTGCCATCGCCGGATTGGTTGCCGGTTGGCGAGTCGGCAATGTAATGGACGAACAGTCGTTCATGGGTGAAGGTGAGCTTTTGTGGCTTGTCGTGCGTGATCTTTGGGAGGATGATTGAGGCTAGTGACGAGGCGGCACTCGTTGAACTACCCGGCGAGGAGTGCTCGGCCAGAATGGTAGTGCGATAGGCGATGCATGAGCTGAAGTTGATTACATTGTTAGTCTGAAAATAGTTTCTTTGACTCCTCAAATGTCAGACAGCAAGACTTACTAGAGCAAAGAGCTCGTCTTGGAGGATGAGGCCATAGTGATATGATGTCAGTGCCGTGACCTCAAATATATAGGACCCGTAGTAGAAAAGAGGAGTAATTGGAAGCGATGGAAGAGCTACAGTTTCCAAGCGCTTGTGATACTCAGATATAGGACCTAAATCGTTTGCAAGGTCCGGTGGCAGTTCGCCCGCCTGCCTACGTACGTGCGCAGGTGCGCAAAGACGCTGAGTCAGCGGCAGCGGACCTTAACCCGGACCGGTTATAGCTCTGGAGTTGTTGGTGTCTTTTATATGGGATGAGATTATTAAATGTCAGGCAGAGTTGTTCATCTAATACATTTAGGCTTGCAACTGATAGTCACAGCCGAAGTGTTTTGTATACAATCTTCTATTGGTCTTATTGCAGTAGAATTCCAAGCAAAGAGGATCTTCACTTCCTCATGTTTAAAGTCATCTTCTGTCAGTGATGTATACGCTCTGAAGGAGGCTATGGATAATACACACTGGACAAGACTTAAAATACATGGGATCATTGGCTCGCTTATGGTAGATGGGGTGATTATAAGCTGGACACTTCGTACTTCTAGAGTTGCTATTTTGATACTACTAGTACCTACATTCACGAAGTACGGAGTACCTATATCAATCATCTGTCATCTATAGTAGAGATATACAGAGCACACCGTAGGCGATCTTGTGCATTATCGGGTACTTATTTGCTTTAGATCTCGATGCTTTCTACACACATATCACTAATACAAGAATAGCCCCAAAGAATTGATGTAGAATTTACACACAAGGCATACAGTTCTATGTAAATGCAAGTATCTAGGCCTTGCTCATGTTCCACACTGAATAGTACACCAAGATATTTTATTTTAAAAAGTATGGAAGAAGAAGGAGAAAAAGAAGAAGAAGAAGAAGAGAGAGCTGTCTAAGATGACCTCGGGAAGATCCGAAGTGGCGGACACCATTAATCACCATGTGGTCATGGCCATGTCATTATCCTTTTTCGATATATATCCAGCGCGGAATTGATTCTCCTGTTAAGCAATTGAATCTCCCGAAACAACATTACTATCCAAAACAACCTCATTTATAACCTCAATCATGATTAGCATGTCAGAAGCCTTCTATCAAGGTCGGAGACCGATGAAGTCAGTATCTGCCCTGGGAGTAGATGTTCTATACTGACACAGAATATAATCAGAGGTCGCAGCATCGCCTTGCTAAGTGTCTTTGGCGTCATTGGTGGTACAGCTTTAATGTTCCGCTTCCTAGCTCCCCAGCCAGGCACGCTCAATACGAGCAAAGAGGTAGCGACGTACCGGGGTGGCGAGTCTGAACAAACAGATCAAGGCGATAAATTTGGACGCACTGCCCACCCGCCTCGAAAGGAATATCCAGTGTCCAGGCCAAAGTTTTAAGGGGAAATGGTGCCGGGAAGCATGAAGCATACTAGGAAATAAGGATTGGATTGGCTAGAAAGGTTGGAATATTGAAGATTTCATGTATGGATTGATGAATATTGAACGTCGAAGCCGTTATGTACCCCGAATGAGATGGTATCTGGTATCCGCAAATCAAAAAGCCAACGCGCCAGGTCAAAAGTAGATATCTGGAAAGCAAAAGATCCTCCGAATCAATTTACAGGAATTTTTACACGGTGCTAGCACCAAAGGATAGAATGTACTGAATAGTTAAGAAGACGGCAGGGTATCATCACCCGGCTGATTTCCTGTGAATGGGTCTTCACCACTAGCAGCCCGGCTTGCAGGTGAAGCGACACTCTTCTTCTTCGAGTCTTTCTTGTCACGCTTCTTCTTCTCACGCGTAGCCCCCCGGGACTCGTCCGGTCGGCTTGGGCTGCGGCTAGACTCGCTGCGGCGAAGATCTTTGAATTCTTTAATCACCTCACGGAACCCTTCTTCGATGTTGTTCATGCGAGCTAGAACCAACTTGCTGAGCATGTCTTGGGTTTGGGTTGGGGGTTCACGACGAACGGGTGGGGCAAATCCTAGTTGGGTCTGGAAACTTGACGGGAGGGCACCGGAAAAGCCACTCGCCACGGCCTTGTTGTCGCCTAGATCAGATCCCAGATCGTAGAGAAGGGATGATCGAGGTCGGGTGCCCGTGGACCGATTAGTTAGGTAATCTATATCGGGAACGGACATATGTAGTCCAATTGGAGGGTTCCGAGCACGAGATATGTCGTGACGCTTCATGGTACCCTGATCTAACGAGGTGGAGGCAAAAGGGGGTGATTCTCCATCGGAGGAATCCGTATCCGGCCGTGTAGGTGTGACCCGGCCTTCGGTCTCTTCATCTAGAGATCCAACTGGATTGTACAACATGGTGACCCCAGAAGCATTCCGTGTATGTCTGATGCGACGTGTAGGGCTGTTGCGGCGCGACATCATTCTTGCGGTAGATGGACGAGAGCTGTAGAACTTGGGCGACGGCCTCTCCGCACCTTCAACCGAGTCAGCTGTCTCACCCGTGGACCCTAGAGCCGATTGCTTGTTATCATTTGAGTCACCATCGTTGCTGGTAAGTTCGTCATCACCCTCCATGTCTGTATGAAGGGAGAGTTGTCGTTTCTGAGTGGGCGAGATAGAGGGTCTTGTGCGCCGAGACCGGATGACTGGGCTGGCTGCGCAGCTTGTTCGGTCCTCAGGATTCGAAGCAACTGATCGGGTGGTTTCGGTGAAATCTCGAGGTGGGTTAGATAATCTAGCGCGGAATGGAAATTTGAATCGTTGTCGGTGCATGCCATGACGGTCCGCAACTAGCGAGTCCACATCATCGGGTCCATTAGCTGGTCCAGAGCCGATCTCCTGCATCCAGTCTTTGATGACATTATTGGTCTGGCGTTCATGCACAGTGCTTGGTGGGCCTCGCATTCGATCGCCACGATATGGGCGTCGAAACACTTCCTCCAACGCCCGATCCTTCTGGTATGTTGCCACAGATGGCTCCCGTCTGAGAACCGATGCACTGGTGCTGAAACCACGGAATCGACGTGGCTGTTGGATATGAGCTGGTGTTTCATTTTGTGAAGTAGGTTCAATTAGATCCATCGGCTGGACGACTCGAGAACTGAGGATTGTCTTCTCATAGAGGCAAATTGTAAATAATATGGGTAAGTGGGTTATCTTGATAATGGTCCGATTGAGCCGAATGAAGTCACGGAACGGCATCAGGGATCGGAATGGTGTCACTAGCCAGGCAATGATGTTTGTTGGTGCCACATAAGAGAACAAAGCATCAGACTTGACCATCGAGATGGTATTGACAGCGAACAAGAACTGATGTTCTTCATTTGCATTCTGGACAATTCTCATGAAAGAATTGGTTAGAACCGTGATCAAGATAGTGACGACGACGAAATGACAGATGAACAGGAAAACCGTCAGAATTGTTCTCCCTAAAAAGTTGTATTCATCCCACATTGCCCATGCGGTTGGCGTAAATCCCATCAGCATCTGGAACAAACCATAAGCCACCACTTTGGGGGACTTGTTGTCTCCAAAGTACAAGAAAGAGACAAAAAAGCCAGAGCAAGAAATGACGATGAGTACGAAGACGGCAATCAGGTCTGAGGCCATTATTCGGAAAGCAATGAGGAGTTGGGAGAAGTAGCGATAATGATCCAATATAGAAAACAACCTCGGGAATAGCAAGGGAGCTGTAGCTGTAAGAACATCGAACTGAGATGGGTTAGCATGTGCCAATAAAAGTACCCTGGTAAACATAAAAACGTACGGCTTGATCGGCGATATATTCACTTCTAGGGTAGGTCAGGAATGTGCCGTATATCCTCAAGCAATAATATGCGAAGAGCAATAGCAAAATCCCGACGTCGAACAGATTCCAGAAGCTCATCAGATAAAGACTAAAGCCTTGCTCATTGAACCCAACAACTTCATCAAGCATGAATCCGGCACTCCAAAACCAGAATAAGATCTCAAGAGATGTGATCCTGCGGCTGCGCTGTTCCAAAACCGCCAGGAACAGTCCCAAGAGTACTGCAAAGGATAGGGTGGAAAGAAACTGCCGATAGCGCGGCACCCTCAGCCGCGATAATTTGAACAAAGATGCGTCCCGGGGGTTGTAGATCGTCACTGACCGCCGAAGTATCTTATTGCTGGACTCGGTCGTATTATCATCATTGGGATCCATTGTTGCCCCATAATCCAGGTTTCCACCTTGGTTCATGCTCATAGAGCGATGGAGACTGTCGGCGGCCGAGTGGAAGACAACCGTCCCCGCCCAGATAGCCTCCAATTGTTGCACGACGACAGGATGGGCCAAGAATCGCTTGGCCTGCGCGCGGATAGCAACCTCTAAGCATGAGACACGGGCCGCAACCACCCGTTTCCGATGAGGGCCAGTGACTAATATTGTGGATTGATCCTGGCCCTGAAGTGGATAGAACTCGTAGGACAGCGCATCGATCAATTCGCGGGTCGAGTATTCCCGCAATAGCTTTATCGCCAACAGTTCACTGACCATTGCCCGTGTCTGATTTGCCCCGCTATTCCCCGGACTTAGGTGTATTTCTCTCTCGAATTGCAGACAGTTGGCCATCAATGCATAGAGGGTCGCGCGCGAAAAGTGGGCCGACATGATTTTCTGCAGGATCGGCTTGATCAGGAACTGGGAGACCTGCGGCGAGCGTAGTTGGTCCCATGTGAGGGTGGTTTCGCAGCGTGAAGCGATCAAAGGACGAATGGCGTGGGTGATGTTGTAAACAGGCAGCGCATCTAATCATGTTGGTCAATTGTCCGTATACACCGTACCTCAAGGATCTCCGTACCCAAATGCGACGCAGAGAACATAGGCAATAGAGGTGTAGACTCGAGTGGTCCGTCCTCTTCCTCTTCCCCTTCCTCCCAGTCCTGGTCCATATCTTCCTCATCGATTTCGTGAAGCTCTGGCGCATCATCGCTGCTTTCATCGGCTCGAGGGACGCGTCGCGAGTTGTTGTGTGTGGAGCGAAACCACGGGGAGGGGGTTGAGAATGGGGACTGCTCGACCTGCCCGCGCTGGCGCTTTGGACGCAGCAGCGAGGCGAACATGGCGAGGAAACTTCAAGGTCTAAATCAGCATAACCGAAGTTGTTTGTTGGGAGGTTGTAGGATGCTAGAGCATTCCGGAAAAGAGCGCGCGAGAAAACTAAAGAGGGAAAAGGGCAGGAGACCAAAGTAAGAAGGTGAAGGTTTGCTCAAGCCCAGGTGAAAGCGGAACTAACTCCAAAGATATCGTATGTACCTTTTGGTGTTAGAGGGAAATCTAAGTTCTTACTATGGCCAACCCCCCACGTCATTGTGCTGATAACCCCGGTTCACTCCTTGTAAGCTTATTTGTTCTTCGGTGTTTACCCTTTCATACATAGATCTTAGATCTTAGATCTTTAAATGTTTAAATGTTTAATCTTTGGACTGTCCAATATTATATCAGCCTTCAGTTTTAAGGGAGATCGCTTATTATCTTGGCCGTAATCTTGATTCCACAGTATGCAGAGGATGTACATCCAGAGCCTGCATATACAGATGCAACAGAATTCGACAGGTCAGAAATACTCGCCACACATGTAACAGAAGGGATGACCGGCATTGTACTACACATTTTTGAGACGAGACAGCAAGATGTCTTATATATATATCTAAGGTTTTTCTGCTCCGTATACTCCGTAAACATGTGAATACCCGACTGCCCCAATATACGATATCGTTATCGGCCCACTGCCCGTGCATTGCATCATATGCAGTAACGCGTGCATGTAGATAGAGAATCACTAATCCCCCAAACTTCTCAATTGAACCGTATACCATAAAAAAAGAGTACTACAATAGCACAATACACTCTATAGAAATCAGAGCAACGGAAAATCTCTGCGGTGAAACGGATTGTCCGAAAGCAGAAAAAGAGTGGGGCTAGGAAAAGCTTTTTGCATGAAAATATTTTCTGCCGAACTTGCTTTTTCTCTCTCCCTCCTCCACAGCTGGTTGCAGCAAACAGTTTCTTGTCTTTCCTTCTTTATATATCTATACTCCCTTCTGCGGTCCTTTCTTTCCTTGCAAGCCAAACAAACAAAATTTCACAGATGAACTAGAGTGACCTGCTCGCACGAGATCGCACTAGATCGTCCCCGAGAGGACTTGTTCCCTCACACCAATTACGATGTCTCCCAATTCCCTTGAGGATCCAACTCTGCCTACCAGCCCACACCTGGGTAGTGTAGTCGGATACCCAGAGGCCCAGTCCAACATGGATTCCGTCAGTGGAGTGATCAAGCCGGCCTCCATCCCAATTCGGGGTGGCTCAGACCGGTTGGTCGCCCTCGAACTCGCAGATGGTACTGTCTACCAAGGTTACAACTTTGGTGCTGAAAAGAGTGCCTCGGGTGAATTGGTCTTCCAGACTGGTATGGTCGGTTATCCCGAGTCTATCACCGACCCTTCATACCGTGGCCAGATCCTGGTCATCACTTTCCCGCTCGTGGGTAACTACGGTGTCCCTTCGCACGATGAGATGTGTGAGCTCCTGAAGGACTTGCCCAAGCACTTCGAGTCCAGTCAGATTCACATTTCGGCCTTGGTGGTGGCATCCTACGCCGGTGAGGATTACTCGCACTTCTTGGCCAAGTCCTCCCTGGGCGATTGGCTCAAGTCCGAGGGCATTCCGGCTATGCACGGTGTCGACACTCGTGCTTTGACTAAGCGCCTTCGTGAGACCGGTAGCATGCTGGGTCGCATGTTGCTGCAAAAGTCTGGCTCCCCTCCTGATGTTGCTGCTACTAGCGGTGTCGACTGGAAGTCACACTTCGAGGAGACTGAATGGGTGGATCCCAACACAAAGAACCTCGTCGCTGAGGGTGAGTGATCTACCAAGCTTCTACATGAAAAAGTAAAGGTTTTCTGACATCATTTTTTTATTCTTACAGTCTCGATTCGCGAACCTCGCCTATTCACACCCCCCGCCAATGTCGCCCTCAAACACCCCTCGGGCCGTGGAGTCCGCGTCCTTTGCTTGGATGTCGGTATGAAGTACAACCAGCTGCGTTGTTTGCTTGCCCGCGGTGTCGAGGTTCTGGTTGTGCCATGGGACTATGATTTCCCCACCCTTGCTGGAAAGGACTTCGACGGTCTCTTCGTGTCCAACGGTCCTGGTGATCCCGCGACCCTTACTGTTACCATTAAGAACCTGACCAAGATGTTCGAGGATGCTCGTACTCCCGTCTTCGGTATCTGTCTGGGTCACCAGTTGATTGCTCGTGCTGTCGGCGCTCAGACTACCAAGATGAAGTTCGGTAACCGTGGTCACAACATCCCCTGCACAAGCATGCTCTCTGGCAAGTGCCACATTACTTCCCAGAACCATGGTTTTGCTGTGGATGCCAGCAGCCTTCATAACGGATGGGAAGAGCTGTTCGTCAACGCCAATGACGGCAGCAACGAGGGTATTCGTCACACCAGCCGTCCCTTCTTCAGTGTTCAATTCCATCCCGAGAGCACACCCGGCCCCCGGGATACCGAGTACCTGTTTGATGTGTTCATCAACACCATCCAGTCTACCATTGACTCCCCCGAGGCTCTCAACATGCCTGTCTCCTTCCCCGGTGGCACCAAGGCCGATAATCTCCTGGCCGCCCCCAAAGTCTCGGTCAAGAAGGTTCTGGTTCTTGGCTCCGGTGGTCTTAGCATTGGTCAGGCTGGAGAGTTCGATTACTCTGGCAGTCAAGCCATCAAGGCCTTGAAGGAAGAGGGTATCTACACCATTTTGATCAACCCCAATATTGCCACCATTCAGACCTCCAAGGGTCTGGCTGACAAGGTTTACTTCCTGCCCGTCAACGCCGAGTTCGTCCGCAAGGTGATCAAGCACGAGCGTCCTGATGCCATCTACGTCACTTTCGGTGGCCAGACTGCCCTTTCCGTGGGTATCCAGCTTAAGGACGAGTTCGAAGAACTCGGCGTCAAGGTCCTCGGTACCCCTATTGATACTATCATCACTACTGAGGATCGTGAGCTGTTTGCTCGCAGCATGGATTCCATCAACGAGAAGTGCGCCAAGTCTGCCTCTGCTTCCACCCTCGAGGAGTCCCTGCGTGTGGTTGAGGACATTGGTTTCCCCGTCATTGTTCGTGCCGCCTACGCTCTTGGTGGACTTGGCAGTGGTTTCGCGGAGGACATGGATCAGCTGAAGGAGCTCTGCACTAAGGCTTTGGCCGTCAGCCCCCAGGTGCTGATTGAGCGCAGTATGAAGGGCTGGAAGGAGATTGAATACGAGGTTGTTCGTGATGCCCAGGACAACTGCATCACTGTCTGCAACATGGAGAACTTCGATCCCCTTGGTATTCACACTGGTGACTCCATTGTCGTTGCTCCTTCCCAGACCCTCTCAGACGAAGACTACAACATGCTACGAACCACCGCAGTCAACGTCATTCGTCACCTCGGTGTTGTCGGTGAATGTAACATTCAGTATGCCCTCAACCCCTTCTCGAGGGAGTACTGTATCATTGAAGTCAACGCTCGTCTGTCTCGGTCCTCCGCCCTGGCCTCTAAGGCTACCGGATACCCTCTTGCTTTCATTGCTGCCAAGTTGGGTCTTGGTATCCCCCTGAATGAGATTAAGAATTCGGTCACCCAGTCCACTTGCGCCTGCTTCGAGCCATCGCTCGACTACTGCGTGGTTAAGATTCCTCGTTGGGATCTGAAGAAGTTTACCCGTGTGTCTACTCAGCTTGGTTCTTCCATGAAGAGTGTCGGTGAAGTTATGAGCATTGGCCGAACCTTCGAGGAAGCTATTCAGAAGGCTATTCGCTCGGTTGATTTCCACAACGTTGGTTTCAATGAGTCCGATGCCCTCATGTCCATCAAGGGCGAGCTCCAGACTCCCTCCGACCAGCGTCTGTTTGCCATTGCCAATGCCATGGCCGCCGGTTACACTGTTGATGACATCTGGAAACTCACCAACATTGACAAGTGGTTCCTCAGCCGACTCAAGGGCCTCAGCGACTTCGGCAAGTCCATGTCCACCTTCAATGCTACCACTGTGCCTGTGCCTATGATCCGACAGGCCAAGCAGCTTGGTTTCTCCGATCGTCAGCTCGCCAACTTCTTGGACTCCAACGAGCTTGCTGTGCGCCGCATGCGTGTTGAGGCTGGTATCACACCTATCGTCAAGCAGATTGATACTGTTGCCGCCGAATTCCCAGCCGTGACCAACTACCTATACCTCACCTATAATGCTTCTCAGCATGACCTGACGTTCGACGATCACGGTATCATGGTTCTGGGTTCTGGTGTCTACCGTATCGGTTCCTCTGTCGAATTCGATTGGTGTTCCGTGCGTACCATTCGTACGCTCCGCGAGCAGGGCTACAAGACTATCATGGTCAACTACAACCCGGAGACCGTTAGTACCGATTACGATGAGGCCGACCGCCTTTACTTCGAGAACATCAACCTGGAGACTGTTCTGGACATTTACCAGCTGGAGACTTCCAGCGGTGTGATCATGTCCATGGGTGGTCAGACCCCGAACAACATCGCTCTGCCTCTTCACCGCCTCAATGTCAACATCCTGGGTACTTCCCCCGAGATGATTGATGGTGCTGAGAACCGTTACAAGTTCTCCCGCATGTTGGATCGTATCGAAGTTGATCAGCCCGCTTGGAAGGAGCTGACTAGCATTGACGAGGCCCGCGATTTCTGTGACAAGGTCGGCTACCCCGTGCTGGTCCGTCCTTCATACGTGCTCTCTGGTGCTGCCATGAACACTGTGTATTCCGAGCACGATCTGGCCAGCTATTTGAACCAGGCTGTCGATGTTTCGCGTGAGCACCCTGTGGTTATCACTAAGTATATCGAAAACGCCAAGGAGATTGAGATGGACGCTGTTGCCCGTAACGGTGTTATGGTTGGCCACTTCATCTCCGAGCACGTTGAAAATGCTGGTGTTCACTCTGGTGACGCTACTCTGATCCTACCTCCCCAGGATTTGAGCCCGGAGACCGTGCGTCGCATTGAGGAGGCTACCCGGAAGATCGGTAATGCTCTGAACGTTACTG